CTTCCGACTTGGGGTCCAAAAGACTCCGAAACCGCATGGTTGGAGACACGGAAGGTCATGGACGCGAAGCGACGGCAATGGCGATCTTGCTGTCACTTCTTATCAGACCAGAATGCTTGAAATTGTATGTATGCACAGTTGGGCTGTGTACTTTGTGTTGTTGGTTCGCTTTTTTCCCGTCCCTAAAAATAGGCCCAATCCCTATCCTCCTTACACATTCTCACTTATGTTGTATGCATTATGAGTTTGGCAGCGATCAGCGAAGTTCGCTTCACTGTATTACGCTGCATAATGACGATGATGATGATGACTGATTACGACTAAATGACAGCCACTAGACCAGAAGATACGTCCGAACGAACAAAATCATCATCATCATACAGCGAAGCGAACTTCATTGATCGCTGCCAAGCTCACAATGTACACAAACCACGTGATAAAGCTCAAGATGGGGCCTAATTGGAGGGAGGCAAAGAAAGTGAACCCCAATGGTCAAAACAGTCCTGAGAGATCCAATGTCTTCGGCGAACTTTGGGCTCGGTTCCAAGAGCAAAGTTGGCTGCTGAGTGCTTCACAAATCTAATCTGATTCCACTGGTGGTCTACTCCACTATGCCGTGGTTCTTCTACCTCATGTCCCAGCTTCTCCTCATAACGTGCACAGACAGATGGATCGCGCAGACGATGGGCCAACTGAAGAGGCGATCTCTGCCTGAGTCGAAGAGTGAAGCACATTAGAACTAGTGCATGGTCCGAGTCAACGCAGGTAGTTCAATAGGATCTGCAATTTTGTACCGAACCACGCCAACGGTAGCTTACAGCTATGCGGTCAATTTGAGTCAACGTTCCCGTTGAACTAGAACACCATGTAGCTGTTCGACGAGAGCTGTGTCGAAAGGTGGTGCTAGATAAGAACAACCGATGGTCCGCGCAGAAACGATCACCGTTATCTGTTCGCTGGACGGGGAGAGCGAAGTGTTCTCCTAGACAAGTTTCGGATGCGCTCAGTTTTTCAACCTGTGCGTTAAAATCCCTGCCAGCACCATAATATCAGGACTGCTTCTCAGCCGGATGAGTTCGGCGAGTTTGTCATAAAATTCTTCCTTTTGTGAAGTGGGACTGCAGTTGGTTGGTGCATATGCGGAAATAATGAACAAACACCCTTTGGTGTTGCTGCCCTTGACGGGTATCCAATTTTTCATAGAGGCTTCAGCTTTTTCGTTTAGTACGATCCCTACACCACGCTGAGCGGGCTCCGTTGTATCCTGATGTGCGAAGGAAATACGTCGAGGACAGACCCGGCGCACTCAGGTGGCTTGTAATACTAGGACACTGAATTTGTCTCCAATAAGCAACAAACATCAATTTCTAAAGACTTCATTGTACGCGCAAGACACGCTTGTTGATCCACCTTCACGAGAGTCCTCATGTTGAAGGCCCTTAGATTGACGAGACTTCAGGAAAACCAGTTACAGTGCTATTGGGCAATGACCTTTGGCGAATGACGACCAAGTTGTCTGGGGGAATATCACGGGTCGGAAGAAGGGGTAAAGGGAGAGGGTTGGGTACGGAAGATCAAGAGTTAAACAAAAGTTGGGATATCTGAGCAGTAGCCCACTTATCACTACCCACCCCGCTCGATGCAATGGGCAGCGCGGTCCTGATTATCCTGCGCGACGACCGATGCATTATGGAATTATTTTTTATTTTGTGTTCATTGGAGCTTTATGGACGGGTACTGCCAGGGTGTCCAGCCACTAAGCAGGAGAACGATTCGGGTTCTCAACCAAAGCTTTTAGTTCTTAAAAGAACCAAACCGCAAGGTAGATTGGAGACCCATTCACTTGGATCAGTTACTCCTTCAACACATTTTACCGACTTGGATGCCAACTCAAGTCGAACCCCCAACCTGGAGACTGGATTTTGACATCTACCCATTGACCTTCCGGTCGTGATTAGATCTCCTGGCTCGACAAAAGCCATCCAGTGTAGTTCGTTGGGTCACAGAGGTGCGTAAGCCATCACACCACATCAAAGTGCAGTCTCGTCGTGAAGCAAAGGGGACACGCGAATGTTTGTATATCAAGGTCAAGAGACTTGTTTTGGCATATGAACCCTTGAAATCAACACTGAATCCTTCAAATAGTTGTGTAGCTCTAAAGAGTTTGGCCAATAATCGTTTGAGAAAAATGGGGCTTAAGTTCTGCACCGGTTTCATACTGGCCACTGACGGTTTTGATGTCATTGGGTGAGAATGGTGAGTTTTTAGAACAAACTCAAAGTTAAAATTCGTGTAATACCAAGGTGACAGAGTGTAATGTCCCGTGTGATTACGTGACATAGAGAGATGGTGGTTCCGAGTGTTTCAGCCATTTGATTCTGGTCACCGGGACGGTACCAAATGTCACAATGATAACAAGAAGGTTCGAAATTTCATCTTCAGATTATTCTGTTTCGTTGTTCATCATTCATGAATGCCGCCGAACGCTGGTGAGTGATAAGATTGAAAGGATTTCTGACTAAGTAGTGTCTCCATTCTCTTAGAAACTGGACAATGACATAATCTTCTTTCTCGATGTCAGAGTGAGGTTGCTCGCTGTGAGATAAGGTGCGAGAGAAAGGACCCTAGTCGTCTGCCCTGGCCAAATATGCTAATTTTGGGTGGGTCTGTCTCCACAATGGACAGTTGTAATCGTTTGTAACCACAGCGGTTTTTTCAATACCCTTCTCATGTTTTCCAACGCATTCTTTGCTCCTCTCGGGTTGCGGTTACGTCTGGTTTTTCACAGAAATGCGGATTTTATCAGAAAAGTGAGGGATCCCCTAGCATTAAGAGTACTGTCTCTGCGAGTGAGCGTCGACAAACACAGATAGTTCCCGCGGAGCTCGAAATCGTTCAGGGTCTTGCTGAACCAATTCGTTTGTGATTTTGTATCCCAAGATTGGAATCCTTGTGGCGGAACTGATGCTCATACTTCCGTGGAAGTTGTTGTACGCGTTAGAAGCCTCCAGAAAGCTCTTCCGCACTGCAGCCGTAAGCAGTGACGTTGTCAGCTTAAGCAAAAGCATCTCTTCGCGGATGATCCATGGCGCGTTGAAAGCAAAGCACTCCGTGTGTAACTCCTAACGGTAGGCGATAGCAATGATACAACTTGCCACAGACTTCAAAGGCTAAGGTTTGTTTTCCTTGCTCATAGGGATTTCATGATAAGCACTTTGAAGATCGCGGAGTAGTGGAACACTCCCTCAACTAGTTCATCGATCTTTAGGGGAAGATAACCAAAGCGATTTATTGTTTGACTGTAATCGACAAGCACGCGTTTCTCCTATCTATCGCTTGTAGTCACAAGCATGTGAGCACACCAAGGTGAGTCTGAAGACTCGATTGTATAGTTGATCAAAAACTTGCGGATTTCTGTCTCGACGAACGATAGACCTGCGGCAGCGTGAGTTGTTAGTAATGGGATAAAAATCGGGTGACAAATGCCTGAATAGGAAAGGAGTGTCCGCGTGTACAGCCTTGAAATCACACAGAGGTAACGATGACCAGTTTCCATTAAAGGAAATAACTGTTTCCACATTGCCCAAGAAAATCATGTCTCCAAAGTACATCCATAGGTGGATTTTTTAAAAGGGAAAGTTTAGTTCTACAGTGCACAGAGAAATAAAAATGTCCAAGAGTAATATAAGATAGACGCATCGAGGCCATTGATATAGAGCTCTTACAGGCCAGTTACATTCCGCCGAAAAGTTAGATGGTAATAGCTCTTGCGGCTAACAGTGTCTGTAAGTGCGTACAGCACTGTACATTTAGACAATCCAGTGGACGACGAACGAGTGACGAGATGAGGGGGGGGGGGNGTGCGTTTGGATTTGACATTAGATTGAAAAACCACCAGAAATACCCTTTCTGCCCACTTAAGTTGAAAATAGCTTCCTGGAATGGGGAACATTTAGAACCAGGGTTTCTTGGTCCCCAAAGAAAAAGCAGCGAGTAAATTACTGTTGGGAATACTTCCAGTTTTTCAGGTTGACGTTCCGAAGCAACTCGTATAGGAACCGAAACAGATAAGTCTATCTGAATGGGTGTGGCACCACATGGGACGTAGGAGGACGAGCCGCAGAGCTGAGTCTGTTTAAGATCAGGATTGTGCTTCTTCAAAAGCAGTTGATGAATGTTTTTCGACAGTAATCCTGTGATGAATGCATCGCAGCGCTTTTCAGCAGAGAGTTACTGTTGGCAACTAAAATGCGTAACTTCTATAGAAACTGACTGCACATGCTCTTACTTAGTTGTAACTAATAGATGGTGGGCGAAGACCTCGGTTTAATATTTCGAGCTTCAATGACTTACATATATTTTTTCTTACACACCGTAGTGTGATGAACAACAGACGGGGTGAATCCCATAGATAGGCTGTTCGGTGATGGAAACCGGTGACCTTAGGCCCGGGAATGGGAGTGGCTAGCCACATAAAGCAGCGCCAGGTTAGGCGTGGTATTGTTGAAAGAAAATTGCCAAAAGTGTCCGGGCAGTAAATCCACTGCTCGGGCTGATGTAGGAGAATGAGTACAGCTGGCGTTGTTCAAAATGGTGATCTTCTGATTATACTGTGGAGTAACAGAATAAGAGTCTGACCAGACGTCGCTTTTAATCTTCTAACAATTATAGTATAATAGCAACGGGAATATAACCCTACGATAAATACAGTAGTATACAATTTTATGATAATGCTTTCGACAAGGGAGTCAAGGATTTTTCCTCATGCTTGCGGCAGTGCGAATCTACAAAATATCGGATAGGGAAGATCCGGCCTGTTGGCCACGTGCTTGATGCAAAAAGGGCGGTATCTTTTCCTCCGGTGATTAACTAATGGCCATCGATGAGCCCGTACAACCGCTTGTAAGAACTAATTATAACAGTGAATTTATGGTGTGGGAAAAAATTGCAAAAATGTACGGATATATATATATATGAAATTTGAATACTGTACATCAGGTTTATACATCATTGAAGTCATCACGAATACCGTTGTATGTGTCTACACGTTGGCGGATCTTTGACCCAGGAGCCCAGGTAATATAATCTTCCATTGCCCTGTAGACGGGAAGAACACATTGAAAATGCACAAGAGTCAACAGCTTTAGTTCAAAGGCTGAATATTTATGGATAGGAATAAAAAGCGAGGCATCCTAAACGTTACGAACAGTGAAGTGTTTTGAATCCAAAAACCTTGAGTCAACAATCGACTACTAAATACACGTGGTTTCCTATTGCGCGTCAGGCGGTTCTTTACACCCGTTCACTGGCTCCACTCGGAGCTCGAATATTGTAATCACATCTGGTTTGGAGCTTTGTATTCTACTCTTATTCCTTCGTCTAGTTTGACGTAGGGATATCCAGCAAACTGTTTTAACTTCAAATATGCAGTCACAATTCCTTAACCAGACAGTTGCTTTGTTTTCTTCTCTTCTACCGTTCTTGTTTTGATTTCTGAACTCGCTTCAGTGAAAACCCTCCCATTGTACTTTTCTCATCCAGTTCGATCTCAGGTGCGCAGTCACAAGGATCAGGTTTCTGTCGCTAACTGTAGGACTTTTTTCTCCCAGTTCTCTTTTTCCCTAACATTGCGTTATTATGGAACACTTCTCATTACCGTATTTCGAAATAATTATAATCTCCAACGGACTGAAACCCGCACCGAACATCATCAGCAGTGCCTGGTGCCTATGAAAAAAACAGTGGGCTAGCCCAAACATTTACCATCTAAATTATAATCTCTCTCTCTTTTCAAAAGCACAATCAAGCAGGTTCTCTCCCTCCACCCCTATCTCTTACAGTATGTCGTTGATTGTGGGGTTCATCGCTTTTGCTGAAAATCACTAGATATGTAATAAAGAACACACTAACAAACGTATAGACAAGAACTTGCCTGGGAACAAGAAAAGCTGGGTCACGGATTATATCTGGTCCAACTCGTACATGTCCTTGTTCCACAAAAGTGACAGCTGCTTTCATAGTTTCAGCCATATGGGAACGCATCAAAATCACCGGCAGACGTCGGCGGCAAAACGCCGAAGCGTTCACTTTAGAAGCAAGTAGCAGACTTCGTTTTGTGGGAACCAGACCTAAACTATGCCTGAAAGTGATGTGATACTAATCACAAGCGGCGCATTGAACTCACAATTTCGCCGTCAATAGGTGAGTCATTTCCGCTCTCCAGGGATCGGTTTCATCGACGTCCTTCAATTTGTCTGCAATTTCACGTACTTTTCGCGAGAGCTTGTTGTATCTGGGACATCAGAGAAAAAAACATCTCATCATATCGGTGCACAGAAAAAAAACCTTCAGCAGTAAAGATGGGATTCGAAAGAAATGTTCGGTACCTTTAAAAACACGAAAATGAGATATGGTAAAAAAAATAGCAAGTTCCTGGCTCAGCTGGGTCACAGAAACTTTCAATGGAAGTTGCGTGGATTGAGCATTGAGGTATATTGGGCAACCTGAACGTTGCTGAACTTCGTTCAAAAGGCGCATCATCTGGTTCAGTGGACACCGGCCTATAAAGAAATATGGCTTCCCGACACTGGATTCCAGTCAGTAGCCGACTGTGCGTTGTACGTCTTAACGGTTCAGTTCGAGTCA